AAAGGCCCTCAACCCATTTACCACCTTCTCCCTCCCCCGTGCACGTATAATTCAATAACACAGATGCCTCAGTCCTTTTTCTGCATCTTGAGGAAGATTGCTGCTGGCTTTGGGGACTGCCTTGGCAGGCCAGGGGATGATGCAGGCAAAGACCCAGACACAGCAAAAGCTCTGATTCAAAATCCAGCAGGAAATAAACTAATAATGTATATTAGTGTATTTCCGGAGACTCAAGATAAAGGAACCTTTAAAACCTCTTAAGTGTACATTTTCCGGTAACATGTAACACATGGTCCTTTCTTAGAAATGAGGTTAGAACAGTTTTTCTTTTGTTTTTTGTTTGGTTATAATGAAGTTTCTGGACAGTCCATCAGAACAAAAACACAAAGTCTATTTTAGGAATTCCTTTATGCGTGGGCGTTTGTTATACCTTTCTGGTGTGCCAGCCTAAGTATGTAACAACGAGATAGAGCTGTCTCTGCCTGGAGGTACCTTAGGCTATTTATCTTTAAATAGACAAGAAGAAAAATGGATTTGAGCCAGATGATGTGGCTTCCTTTCCTTCGAAAGGAAGGAAGCAGACAAGAGGACCATGCAGTAGTAACACAGCCGAATCCTGAAAAGTGTTTTTGAAATACTTAGTTCTTATAAACCCGTAGGCTGTGTTCACATTTGGGGTTGAAAACATGCTCTCTCCTCACAAATCCTTCTGAGTGTCATTCCAGGAACTTACCCAAGAACCAGGCTAGTGTATCATGTGATGTGATTTTCTTTCATGTAAATGAGAAGCAGTATGTTCAGTGAAGCGGGTGAAACTTTGGACTCAGACACACAGTTAAGTCTCTGACCACCTCTGTGTCCTTAGGCAAGGTGGACTCCTATATACAAACGTGAAGAATTTCGTTTTGACCTTTGTTAGTTTCCTCTTTCACTCTGGTCTTATGTGGATCTCTGCTGTGAAGCAATAGATTCAATGGAAAAATAGAGCAACCTAGAATTTACCCTGTATGGCGTCTGAGGCAGCAATATCATCTGTGTTAAATTGATGTTAGTATTATTCTAGTCAGAAAGGTAAAAGTGTACTTCCCTGGTTTTCCTTCTCTCCCCTGGCCCCTCCCCAGAAGTCCCATTGCCTGCTTCCCCTTCTTTTCCTGACCCATAAAAATTGGATTGCCCTTGAGGTCAGTCTCGGCTTCTGTTCAGTTTCAGTTGGTCTCCTGGCTTTAAATATCCAAGTGACTTCTAAATTCTTAACTCCAGTCCTCAATGCGTCCCCTGAACTTAGATTCACATATCCAACTATCGCTAATATCTCTGCAGGGATGTTCAACAAACACCTCAAACTGAACGTGGCCAAAGTAGACCTCTTACTTCCTCCTTCCTTCCCCTACCAGTCTTCCCCAGTGGAGGGAGTGGATGTCATGCCAGCTTATCATTGAGGTATCTGCTCACCTGTCACCTTTTCAGAGAGGCCTTCTCTGTCCATCCTTTCTAGAATTCTCCCTACTTCTTGATCTGCACCCCCCCATCCTGGCTCCAAGGGAACAGGGATCTCACCCAACTTTTATTTACTGGTATGATCTCAGTGCCGCAGGGATGCCAGACTCAGAATGAGAGCTTGATAAATATTTATTGAATGAAAGAAGCAATGAATAAATGAATGAGTGAAAATGAAGGAAGGAAGCAATTTAACAAAGAATTTGCTAAAGACTGGAGTGTAGGATGAAAAGAATTGGTTCAGTTCTGGGGATGCTGTCCCTTAAATTGATTTTTTGATCTAATTCATGTATTCCTTATAATTTTCTGAAATGAATTTGACCTTCAGGGAGGACTAGAGTAGTTTTAGGGGTCTTGAGGAAAGTTTACACTTATGCAGTTTTGAGGTCTAATAGTAGTATTGATGAAGAGGTACTAAGATTGAGTTCAGAGACTCTAAATGCAAAACTATTAAATGCTTTAATAGATTCTCAAAGTGCAACTGAGTATTAATTATTGCTTCCCAGTCGTTGAAATCTGCATGGAAATCCCCATCCTTTTTACCCTGTTGACAGTGAAAGTGATGGCTAGAAATAGGCTGCCATTTTCATCTGCAGTATCTGGCTGGAAGGATGTATTACGAGGAGGCCTCTTTGTTTTGTTTTGTTTTTATAAATTTATTTATTTGACTTATTTATTTTTGGCTGCATTGGGTCTTCAGTGCTGCGCGTGGGCTTTCTTTAGTTGCGGCGAACGGGGCTACTCTTCGTTATGGTGCGTGGCCTTGAGACGTGCAGGCTTCAGTAGTTGTGGCTCACAGGCTCTAGAGCACATGCTCAGCAGTTGTGGCGCACGGGCTTAGTGGCTCTGCAGCATGTGGGATCTTCCCGGACCAGGGCTTGAACCCAAGTCCCATGCACTGGCAGGCGGATTCTCAACCACTGCACCATGAGGGAAGCCTGAGGAGGCCTCTTTAGAACTGACTTCTGAGCATTAATTTCTCCCACCAGGAGATCAGTAAATGACCCCTTCCACCTGCTGCCATCCGAATTTGGAATTTGGTGACACCATTGATTTTTGTTCCTGCTGGATGAATTTTATAATCAGTCTCCAGGAGAAAGGAGATGGCATTTTGCATTGTTGCTCTGCCAGCTTCTGTTGGCAGGGAAAATTCACTGCCTCCAAATTAAACTTGATATGGCATCATTTTACCCCCTTTGTAAATTGATGAGTTGGGCCTCGTGCTTATGAAACATTGGCTTGCTATCTTTGACCAGTATCTAGATTGTGAACTGGTGAAATTTTAAATACAAAATCCCCACTGGCTACCATAAGCAAGTTGAATAAAGAAGCTACAGTGCCATCTGCTGGCATTCTGGGGGAAATGCAAATGATGACTAGAAGCACCTCTTACATAACAAATAGATTAAAAAATGCAAACCCAAGGGTAAATATTCAAAACACATGATAATTTGAAGAAGGTAGATAAAAATAACGAAAAAGTTGTAAGCCAGATTTTTATAGAGGAAAATACAATTATATTTTGTGATAACTATGTAATAGTGAGAACATAACTTTTCTGTAGTATGAATTTTGGAGTGTTTTTACAGTATTAGGTATTCCCATTGGGCGGAACGAGTGAAAAATGGGTTGAAAACTTAGAAATGAGCCTTTGGATTTTTGAAGAATCATACTGAGACAGGCAATTTTATATACACTTCATGCAGATAGGGAGAGTCAGGTGTACTTCGGAAAGACAACCTGTCTAGCGATCCCTCAGTACAGCTCCTTGCTGGTCTGTAACCAGTCAGGGAAACGTGCACCACTTCTGTAATTTCTGGAGACCATGGTTTTCTGTAAAATTGGGATTGGATTAAACGATGGGCAGAATTCCTTACAACTCGATGAAGTGTATTATTCTAAATCAGCAAAGGACTGAAGAAAAGTACTATTTCTTTAGACCATTTTCCCTTGAAAATATTTCTTTTAGAAAAAGTGAAAGACATATACATATTTTTGGTTCATTACACAGGTAAGTAGTTTATCAAGAGCTAGGGATAGTTGATATAGTTGGTTGTAAGCAAGTAGGTCCTTAGTGTGAGTATAAAAGTAAACGTGCCACTTCCTTTGCCATCAGAGGGCATCTGCAGAAAGCTTGATGGCGGTGCTGATAGATCATGGCCAGTTGAACTAGGGTGGGCTGAGGCGTATTACCATGACTTTGATCTACAAATGCAACAGAGTAAAATTTAAAAAACAAAATTTAAGTATTCAAGCCTTAGCATAAATATTATTTTCGAAGGATTTCCTGCCTTAATCCCCAGTCAACTAGCCCACTCTACTCAGCTGTCTGCTGGTATTTGCCTTGCTCCTGCTTCTGTGGCCTTGAACACCTTCCTGGTTTGTGTTTCTGTTCCTTATCTTTTTTTTTTTTTTTTTTTGTTTTTTTTTTTTTTTAATACGGTACGCGGGCCTCTCCCCGCTGTGGCCTCTCCCGTTGCGGAGCACAGGCTCCGGACGCGCAGGCTCAGCGGCCGTGGCTCACGGGCCCAGCCGCTCCGCCGCCTGTGGGATCTTCCCGGACCGGGGCACGAACCCGTGTCCCCTGCATCGGCAGGCGGACTCTCAACCACTGCGCCACCAGGGAAGCCCTGCTCTTCCCCTTTTGAGAGACCCAATTTTAACTTTCTTTGGTTTCCCTGCCTTCTTCCTTTAAGTTGCTATCTATGTATATTCTGGAGAAAGGCTTGATCGCCTGCGTTTGGGGCTGGGTTCACTTTTCAGGTTATTTGAGTTCATCTGTATCCACAGTCACACACCATTAGCTAGGGTCGGGAAGGGTGTGGCTCAAATCCGATGCCCAGACATGTGTTAATGAACTTGGACACATTTTTAGAAATATTGAATTATTTGCCATCCTTAAAAATGTGGAGCTCTTGTAAAAGAAATGCAAACTTCTGGCTTCTCTTTGAAATTGGAAGATCTAGAGAAACACGTACGTAGTGCACTTGCCAGATGGCAGCAAGGGACCAGAGGAGCTGCATCCTAGCTGCCCCCCTACTTGGGGCATCCAATCTCCTGTTGCTTGATGTCCACAAACCCCTGCACCCCCCTTATTTGTCCTCCAGGTGACCACTTTACTCATCTGCCAGGTCTATATTCTTATTTTTATTTACGTTCTCTTTCCCACTTACATGACAGACTTCTCAATGGCAGTAACTTAACATGTAAATAATGATTCACAGAAATGGAAGGCACTTCAGCAATCAGCCAGTGAAGTCCGTTCCCTTCATTTAATATAGGTCTTACCCTGGAGTGAGCCTTTAATTAGTGTTGACAAATGGCACCTAAGCCGGTTTCTAGAGAGGCAGCAGATGGCTGGGGAAGGCCATTGGTAAATATTCTATAGAAATTTCCCTGGCTCTCCTCAGTTGATTGATGCTGGGTACCACTAGTTAGGAGGGTTTTCAGTCCTCACAGGAAGGTGAAGGTCCCTGGTAATCACACTTGTTTTTCTTTTGTAGGAATCCTCTTCATAAGTCACACTCGGAAGACAGCTCTGTAGGTCAGTAGCACTTTTCTTGGTTTAACCATTTTTAACTAATTATTTTCTTTTAATACTTTGCGGAACACATAAGTATGTGAACATACAAAAACCACAAAGAATCCTTCCACCCAGAAATAAACATCGTTAAGATCTTGATGTATAGCTTTCCTCTCTTTTTCTGAATTTGTGTGGGTTTCAAGAAAACATAATATGGATCGTATGCTACAATTGAATATATCCTGAGCATGTTCCTACATGATTGAGTATTTTTTACAGTAAAATTCTGAAGTCTGCATAATATTCTGTCATATTGGATGTGCCATAATTGAATCAACCAGTCTCCTCTTTGCTGGGCATGTAAGTTGTTTGCAGTTTTTTCTCTATCACAGAGAAATGATGCTACCACTAAAAATCCTTGAGCCTATCCCTGATCATGTCCTTAGGATAAATCCTTCTATTTGGAACTTTTGAATGAAAGATTATGCACAATTAAGGTGTTATAAAATCCACTCTTGATTTTGTAACATTTCTTCTGTTTGGGTCTAAGAAAGCCTGGCAAAGTAATCATGATTAGGTGCATAAGTGCTCAAATCAAGCTTTGATTTGGATTTGAATCATGACTACCAACCTTACTAGTTATGACCTGGGGCAAGTCACTTGCCTCCCTAAGCCTCGGTTTTCTCATCCACAAATGGAAGCAAGGATACATCATACCTTCATTGTGAGTGAGTATTAAATGAGATATGCCATTAGATACAAAGTGCCTGGATATGCTAAGTGTGGGATAAATGTTAGCTCTTGCCATTTTTTTCTTAAGCTGCACCTCCATTTCAGAAACACTACAATGCGAGAAGGGGAAAGTATAGCTTACAAGAAATACATTCTATTCCCAGATTGCTTATGAGAAAGATTCAAGTAGTGATAATCCTACTTCACTTTAACTTCATGGCTGATATTTGCTGTTGTGTTTAGCCCAGAGGCAGCAGGCACCTTCCAGATTCTGGGTACAGAGGCAGCCTCAGGCTAGCCGACTCCAGTTTCCTTCTCAGAGTCCTGGGGATTGTCAGACCATGACGAGGGCATCCTGCTTTGACAAATAATGCCCTTAGCCTGGGAGCCCCTTGCGCGGGGTTTCCATGGGTCTGTTTTGTGCCACACTGCCTGGCACCACCCGTCTAGGCTGCGGAAACCAACAGTGCATCACTCCACTGGACCCTGTTTCCAGTGGCCATGGAGCAACCAGACACCGAACGGTGACGAAGCCTCAGCTTGGGTGTGCCCCGTCCACGAGAGCAGATAGGACTGCTGCTTCTTCGGGGTTTTTGGGGGGGTTTTTTTGCGGTACGCAGGCCTGTCACTGCTGTGGCCTCTCCCGTTGCACAGCACAGGCTCCGGACGCGCAGCTCAGCGGCCATGGCTCACGGGCCCAGCCGCTCCGCGGCATGTGGGATCTTCCCGGACCGGGGCACGAACCCGTGTCCCCCGCAGCGGCAGGCGGACTCTCCACCACTGCGCCACCAGGGAAGCCCTTGCCTGCTTTTTTGATGTTTCTTTATTTCTCATCTTAACCCTACTGTACCATTTCTTGCTCTTAGGAAATTTGCATTTCTTTTAAACAACTTTATAGGCATTTCTAAGTCTTTTCACAAACTGAAAGAGAAAAACTGTCTTTTTGTGAAATCAAAGTATTCTTAACAAGCTTTGAGTTGTAAGGAAGAGGCTACTTTTGTTATTAATGAATTTATTGCTTGTGCTTTGTTTTTCTTTTTTTTAAAGGAAAAGGAGATTGGAAGAAGAAAAATAAGTATTTCTGGCAGAACTTCCGAAAGAATCAGAAAGGAATAATGAGACAGACTTCAAAAGGTACTGTAACACAGCTGGCAGACAGTAGGTCCTTTTAGCCCTAAAATGTTAAGAAGCCTGGGCTGCTAATCTAAATGGATGCTGTAAGTTAGAATAAGTCATTGCATGTGCCCATACGCCATGCAGCCTTTCCGACATTCCTATCATTACTTTAAGACTTCATCCCAGTGGGTTGTTTTTTTTTTCTTTTTTTAAATCAAAGAAATCAAAATGGAAAGAGTTCGGAGTCGTCTCTTTTATAGATCTGACAGCAAAGACCAAATCTTTCCTTTTCTCAGTCACATCAACCTCAGCGAGATCTTTACTGGCCAAGATGGACCCTAAAAAGGTCCAGAAAGTCTTAGCATTTGTGAGTTTTGGACCCTCCCCCCTGCCCTGCCACTTGGGGCCTTTGCAATCTTCTGAACTGCAGACGCTTTTCTGTGGCAGGGACAGTTATGGGGTTGTTACCCTTGGAAACTCTGTCTAATGGGCTGACATCATGGGAATTTGCCCGGGCTGCTTTGTGAAGGCAGTCCTACCCTCCTCTTAGCTGTGTCTTTTGTTGTTGTTTATATAGTAAGTAAATATGTCATCCCTTTGAGGCCCAGTTATGTAATTTATGTTTCTCCCGTATTCAGACAGGGAGGGGAAACGAAGCTACTTGCAGATTCCAGTCTGGCTGGATAAGGTTATCATTAGACGAACATTTTTAGTTGCTCACTGCTGACACGACTTATTTTCTTTTACAAAATCGTGGTGTCCTAGCCTGTGCAGAACGCTTCTCCAGTTATTCCTACACACGGAAATGAGAAAAATGGACACAGTGTGTGTCAGTGGCACACCTGGGTTCCTTGGCAGCCATCAGTGGGCTTATTTAAGTTGTCCTGCTGTGAGAGAGTTATTCTTAAGCATTCCCAGTTTTTCCTTTTGAGACACACCCAGCATCACTTACAATTCAAAGTAGACCTTGGATTCTAACAAAGTCTTATTTAGAAAGAAAGAAGAGGCGAAAGAGAGAGAAACGGATGGAGGGAGGAAGCCAACGGTCTACCGGCTCAACGTTCATTTCTTTTTAAACCCAGGCAACTCTCTCCACCACTGGAGGCGAGGCAGATAGTAAAATGCATCAAAGCTGCAGACTCTCTCCCCTCCCCTGGCTCACACCATTACTCTTCCCGCACAAGGGGCTGAGTGGCGAAGGGCACTTGAGTGGTGTTTCTGGGCTGATTGATTACAAAAAGGAAGTGAGATAAGGCAACACAGGGGAACATAAATTCCAAGGTAGGTCCTGAGTGAAATGGGTTCCCACAACTCTGCAGCCAGACTCATTCAGTCCATCCGTCTATACCACGGGCAAATGAAGCTAGAGCCGAGCATCCTGATGGCACTGATTCTAGTAAGGTGTGGATGGGAACGACAGGGTGGAGGAGCGGGGTGGGGGGTGAGAACTCCGGCTGCGCATGACGGCCCACCTTCACTGACACACTCTCCCCACACGCTGATCAAAGGCGCCTACGCTGACGTGGCTCACATACATGAGACATATGGCCATTTTGCTTTTCGATAAAACACCTTCAAAGGATCCTAACTGAGGGATTCTCTTTCCCCCTGCAGTTCTGCCTGCCTTCGGTTTTTTTGTTGTTTGTTTTTTTGCGGTACGCGGGCCTCTCACTGTTGTGGCCTCTCCCGTTGCGGAGCACAGGCTCCGGACGCGCAGGCCCAGCGGCCATGGCCCACGGGCCCAGCCGCTCCGCGGCACGTGGGATCCTCCCGGACCGGGGCACGAACCCACGTCCCCTGCATCGGCAGGCGGACTCCCAACCACTGCGCCAGCAGGGAAGCCCTCTAGCCGGGTCTTTAAATTAGTTCTCTGCCTCACCTGTCACTCCAGACCCCCTGTCAGCCTTCTTCCAAAACTCCTCCACTAGACCCTCCATCACAAAAGCTCTGATCATTTTGAAGGATTTGTTTCCATGGTAACATCCATTTGTTCTTGGAGCTTGTTTCCAAGCGAGATAGACTCACTGGCTTCCTACAGAGCAGCCCATTCCTGGTCCTGTGGCTCCATCAGTAACAGCGCTAGACGGTGCGCCTGAATTAGGTCCTTCTCTAGTCCTAGATGACAAGCCTTCAAGACTGGCGTCCTGTTTTATCTTTTTTATTTTCTTCTTCACCTGTTCCTATGGTTTTTCTTCTCCAGGAGAAGATGTGGGTTATGTTGCAAGCGAGATAACGATGAGTGATGAGGAACGGATTCAGCTGATGATGATGGTCAAGGAAAAGATGATCAGCATTGAAGAAGCACTTGCTAGGGTAAGAGTGCAGGTGTGTGGTTTTCATTTGTGAGCCCCTGACCTCCTGACATTGACACATGTTGGGGGATTGCTACAGACTGAATGCCTCCACCCCAACCCCCTGCCCCCCCCCCCCCAATTCATATATTAAATCCTAATGCCCAAGTCATGTTATTTGGAGGTGAGGCCCTTGGGAAGTGATTAGGTCATGAGGGTGGAGCCCTTATGTATGGGGTGAGTGACCATGTACAAGAGGCCCCAGTGAGCTCCTTTACCCCCCCCCCTCCGCTGCGTGAGGACACATGCTGTCTGTGAACCAGGAAGTGGGTCCTCACCACACACTAAATCTGCTGGCACCTTGATCTTGGACTTCCCGGCCCCCAGAACTGTGAGAAATTTCTGTTGTTTATAAGCCACCCGGCCTATAGTGGTTGGTTATAGCAGCTCAAACAGACTAGAACAGGGACATCAAAGGGTATGGGAATATACTGATAAGATTGATAATGATAAATTACTAAATAACCACCAAAGAAAAAGTAAATGCAACCATTATAAGCATTAGTTCTGTAAGATGCCTTCAACAAACTAAGCTTTGACTAACGTCAAAGCCAAGCTTTATCTGTAAACCTTAAACTTTTGCTTACTTTCATTTCTGAGTAGATATTACAGTTTATTGTGTCATGTTTTTTTGCTCTGAGTTAGATTAAGCACTGAAAGAAGCCTAATTAACCTTTAGGACACTGGAGTAGTGTTTGTGATAGCAAGATAGCAATTCTTAAGAGATCTCCTGCTTTGTTGTTGCCCAACCAACGGGCTGATTAATTCTTGGATTCTGACGTTGAATACTTGGTTCGGGATGGTGTAGACAAGTCATAAATTAGGCAGGTTTAGAACTTTCAGGTCACTAAGGAATCATTGAATGAGTTATGACTTTAACGTTAAGCAGAATCTTGAAGGTCTGAAACCTTGAAACAGTGTCAGACATACTTTAGTTTAGTATACCTGACTCTAAACCTCAATAGTTAAAAAAAAACAAAGTTTAATTTGTTGCTGAGACAATGCTGGAAAAAAAAAGTTCTTGAGGGGAGTGGGAGGTGGGACCTGTAGTAGGAGACCTGAGGGCCAAGGTCTCCACCAGATGCCCATCTGCCAGCTTCTCTCGCTCTGTTGGTTCGGAGGAGCAGAGGTGATCTTGCCTCCAGCGTCTCTGGGGGACTGAAGCAGTGCCCGGTGACCACCTACCCCTGGCCTTCACCCTCAGTCTGGTCTCCCTGCTCCACCATGCCTTCGGCCACCCCGTCTAGCTGCCAGCTAGGGCAAAAAGTCCACCAGCCATCTCTCCAGTGCCATTCCTTGAGCATGTCATAGCAGTTGAAAAAAGTCCAGCAGAATTCCTAGGAAATGCATATGAGAAACACGGACCTGTATTAATTTCACCATGGTAGGCAAGATGTTTACTTAACGTTCTGGCGAGTGATGCTGCTACATTTGCTGTTTTTCATTGTAAATTTGAAGATCTAAACGTAGAAGATGCCTGCAGGCATCTGACACCATCTGTGTTTGGAAAGGGAGTTGCATAGGATGTATCTAACCCAGTTTTCCTGGGGCAGAAGAAAATGTTAAAAGTGTCCTTAACACAGTCAACTTCAGGTAGCGCGTTTCTATAATTGAAAAAGAAACAAAGGAATACTTTCAAAGTTGGGGAGAAAAAAATTTGTTTGATGCTCTTTCTGAGCTGATAATTTTAACAGCTAGCCATTGTTTACATGGAAAGGAAATCAGAAGTCAACTCTATGAAAAGGTGGCACAGCTGTATGCAGGTTGGATGGAGGTTTTAGCCATGGAGTCTGTCTGTTGCCAGGCTGGCTGCCTTTGCCTACTTTTAGGATGGAGCTCATCAAGACATCAATAATCTTTTCTATAAGGCAATCCAGAAACACAGAAAGAAAAAATTGATAACATTCTCCAAACTTTATTAGATTCTGCACACAAAGGTGGGTGTCCTTTGACAGATGATATAAGTAACAGGGAAGCTTGTTGGTCTGCTCTTGGCAGGGCAACATACATCCTTGGCTACTAGTGTCTGGATGGGCTTCCTTTTAGCCAGAGACAGAACACTTCAAGAAAAATGAAGGGAGATTGCTGTATCAAAGAAACATTAGGAGTTAGACCTTCTGTAATGACCATGATAAGAATGGTCCTTCAGGGTATCAGGCATGTGTTTCTCCCGCTGTCAGTCAGAGTCTAAAAAGACCCGTAGGTATTTAAGGCTTTCATGTTACTAAAGAATTATTATAATCTGTTTCAGGTGGCTGTCTAATTCTGTTTTATAAGACGTTCTACAAGAGGCTAAAACGTTTGCATTTTGAGATTTTTATGTGTTTTTACATTCAACGTAGCTAAGGAGGAACTTGGAAAATAATGTTAATTAGCTACTCCACTGCACTTTTTGTATTTGAATTGTCTAAAGTTATGCCCCTTCAACAATTTATTTACATAAACTAGCTAGTAAATATTTGTGGTGTTCAGGGCACTGACTTGCACAGCCCTTGGGGCACATGGAACACAATTCAGAGTTCGTTAGACACTAATGTACTTTGATATATATTTCAAAGATTCAAACTTTTTTTTTTTTTTTTTTTTTACCGTAAGTTCACATGCTGCCATTTAGATACAATTAACGTACTGTGATCATTTTACCATCGTTCAGATGACGTTGCATAGCCTGCTGCTCTTCTTTTACTGTGTGAGAAATTCAGTTCTGAAGACTGTGTGTACAAGATGTTGATGTGGTCCCTGTAAGAAATACTGGGGTTGGTCTTGATTTACCAAGAAGATGTAATATTTTCTTTTTCTTTGACTTGTTAGGAATACAATAACTTCTGTCCTGATTTGTTACACGTCGTATTTTTGCAACATTAATGAATTTAAATGAATTAATTAGAAAGTTTGGGGGAAAAAGAAGACTCATATAGAATGTCTAGACTTTAATCCTGATAGGACAACCAGCATCAGGAGAGAAGTTTGCCTGTGTGTCATTTGGAGCTGAGTGTATCCCCCAGTGCGTCGTTGTATTTGGGAAAATTTTGCCTATGTTCAAATGAATACAGTTTGGTCCACTGTGCTTTGTTTATATGAATTTGATCTCACTGCTGAGTATTTTCCCCCTGTGAAGTGTACAGCTATGATTCACATTCCTGAAAACCCACTTGTCAATACAAAGATGAAAATGAAAAAGCATTTGAAGAGAATGAAGTTTACAAGATAGCTCTGTGTACACAGTGTGTAATTTAAAAAGACAGCAGCTTAACTTATGATTTTTATATTTTATTAACTGAATAGTTCCATCAAATCTAATGGCATTTCAAACATTTTCTAATGGTTTTATGATGGTTACTTACTCTGTATGCTTTAAGGAGTCCAGCACACTGGTTAAAAAAATCATTTAGGGGGATCTAGAGTATTAGCGTATTCTAGACAACACCATTTTCAGGTGCTAATTTTAAGACTGTTCATAGCTCTTGGTGAGTAAGTTCAGGGTATTCAAGTAAGTTCTGCAAGGTATAGAAAGCCCATGAGACACTTGGAAGCTACAGGTTATTAACTTCTCTGGGTAATTTATGTGGTGTATGTGAGATTGGGAGGGTAAGGAATAAAGTCACTTTTAAAGCTCTGCATAAAGGAGAGTACTATTGTTTTGGTATGATGGCACTCAGCCATGATGGAGCTGTGTTGTTGAAAAATATGTCCTTTGACATTTTAACTGGAAGCAGTGTCTAAGGAAATTGAGAGAGATTTATGACCATGATTTAATAATCATGTTCCCTAAAAAATAGTGTATCAATATTGATACTAAACACTTGCTCATGTAATTTGATCTAATTACTAAATATTATGTATTTATCCACCTGATAAATATGTGTTGGGTTCCACAAGGTCATATCTGTGTGGAAGTCCAAAATAAAGTCCTTGTGGGATTTGAAAACAAAAAAACTTGATGTTTGTCACTGACTTGACTGATGTTTTGGCATGGTGAACTTTTCTTAACGCCAGCTGTCTTACATCAGGTTCCCTAGAAGCAGAGCCTGAGATGTGGATTCTTGTGCACATGATTTATTGAAGAAAAGCTTTCAGAAGAAACCTGTAAGTGAGAGAGGGAAGCAGGAGAGGCAGAGGAAGAAGCTGGACAGAGATGTGATTTCAGGAGAAGTCTAGTCTCAGCCTCAGCCTGATCCCACAGGGAGGGGTGGGGAGCTCTGGAAGGTGAATTGCACTGTAGAGTTTGTCCTGCCAGAGAAAAAGAGGCTGAAAGCTGACTGGGGAGGAGGGAACAGCCTTCTAGGCATCTGTGGGAGACAACGCCTGTCAACCACGGATAATTCTCCTGAGAAGGGTATATAGATGTGAGTCCATATCTACAGTAATTGGGAAATCAGAGAACAGTCTTTTAAAGGGAGTCTGGGCATCTGTTATACCAGAGCACAAGATTATGAGCTGAGAACCTATATAAATTATTTCCTCGTAGCAGGTATTGTGCATCAATCATAGGAATGTGGACAGCTAGAGAGGCTCATGGAGAGAGTCCATAGGAGAGCAACAAAGTGATTGAGGGTTTTTTTAAATAGGTCTCTTGGGCTGGAATCGGAAAGAATTTATCTCAGAAAAGAACTTATTCACTGTCTTCAAGTATATGAAGGGTTATTAGACAGTTCATCTTTAGGGTGTACTGCACAGTGTTTTGTTTTCATCTCTACTGAGGAGAGCATAAAAGAAAATGAATGAAAATCGCAGCTGGAGGGGATTTAGATTAAATATAATAGAAATGTTCTTTATAATAAGTGCTCTTAGAAATGGAAACATTTTAGAATCTCTCTCCATAAAGGTCTTTAAGATAGAATAAGCATTAACCTACTACAGATGTTCATTCCTCTAAGAATCATGTCATAGACTTCCAGTGTGAGAAAACTATGAGACCAGGGAAAATAAGATATGAAGGTAGACAGATGGACAGGCAGACCGACACCCACACCCCCACTTTAAAATGTCATTATTTTAAAACTTCCAGAATTAAACTAAAACTCTATAAATTTGCTTTAAAATACACAAGTTTCTCAAATGAACATCATCAGTTGTCTTTGGGAGCAGAGTGGAATACAAAAATGTGATTATGTAAACAATAACCAGGTTTTTTTCATTGTAAAATGCACTTTAAAAAATTGTTAGAGATCCTGGTTTTCTTTTTTTTTTAATTAGGAAATTAAAAAACAAGGTAAATTTGGATCGAGCACAAATCTGAATCTTTATCAGAAGAAGCACACGGGGAATTCCCTGGCGGTCCAGTGGTTAGGACTCCGCGCTCTCACTGCTGAGGGCCCGGGTTCAATCCCTGGTCGGGGAACTAAGATCCCACAAGCTGTGCAGCCAATAAATAAATAAATGATTTTTTTAAAAAAAGAAGCAGCAGCACATGTGCTCTTAGGCACCAACGTCAATGATGGAAATGGACGGATAACAAAAGAAAAATATTAAGTCTGTTTATGATTGACTAGTGAGGAATTTGTTTCGTTTTCCTGAAGATGAAGATTTTATTTAGTGCTTCCTAGAAAGTAGAGCAGAGACCCTGAGAAAACAAATGATAACACCCTTTTTCAGAGGCAGCTATTTCGATCATACAGGAAGGATAATGCACTTCAGAAACCAATATATCTGGAAAGGAAGAGCATTCTAATATGTCACTTAAATGTATTATAGAGATTAGAACAATATTAATCCCCCTAATATACTAGAAAGATTAAAATAATATTAAGCACCTGCATAGCAAAAGTTCAAATACCTGCAGTTGATGTGAACTTTGAGCTCTCTTTTATCTGAAACCACAAGGGTGATAATAATACCATCATAAAAAGTCTGTTGCATGGGTACAGTATACTAAGAGCTTTGCTGCATTATCTTACTTTATTCTGGTAATAGTCCTGTGATATAGTTTATTGTCATCCCGTTTTGCAGGTGAAGGAACTGAGGCACAGAGAGGTTAAGTAATTTGCCCAAGGGCTTCCAGTTATTTGAGAGCCCTTACCTGTTAATCAATACTGTCTGCCTCCCCCTCGTCCATTTCCTGTCACAAGTATGCACAGAAAAGAACTTCATAGTAGAAATAATGGTTTGGAAAGTTGCTTTTTCCTAGAGGACTGGCATTGCCACGTCCACACAGCTCCAGTGGAAAAGGACGGTCCTGGCACCATCTCCTGGGCTGTCAGGTCAGATTGTATCTGCTTTTTGGTGTCTTGATTCATGGAACATGATTTGATCGATGTCTTAACTTCATATCTAAAAACTGTTTTATAACAGAATTTTAATGCTGGGACAACTTATTTGTATTACAGAGTTAAATTTTTACGTATTTTATGAAAACACACCTGGAACTTCTCACATTGGCCATTCTGAAAGATCTTTCATCTAATTCTGCTAGGTTAAGTTTGTTAATTTTCTATAATATTTCGTTTTTGTCCTTCTGTGTTTTTCAAAAAGTAGAAACCTAGTTTTTAAGCCCAAACTTTAAATGTCTCTGAACATATTCTAGATATCTAACTGCTCTTTTCCTCTCATCCATAGGATCCCCGATAAATCCCATAACATTTGTTAGGTGATAACATTGAACTGGTAACATGAGGCAGTCTAGAACAAAACAAGCAAGTGATTTTTAAAAATCAGTTTCAGGCTGCCACCTCTGTTTTACTAAAATGTCCTTAGTCTACACATTTTGTCTTCCACAAAGAGAGGTAATCCAAAGGTCAAACTACAGACAATTTTGTTATCGAACTTATAATTGAACTGAGAAAGGTGTTTTGATGTTGGAAGATGTTGGAGAAGGAAAATCAAGGTTCTTTTTGGAACACAGAACACAAAGAGTCTGTTGTGTCTCTTGGTTTGATTTAGATAAAAACCTGCAGGGGAGGACGTATTTCTCCTTTCATTTGGGTGACCCTTGTCTTTGGCTGGCACTTAGTCACCAACAGTGGTGCAAAGAAGGTGCCCAAAGGATTCATTCTGCTGCTTGGTAGACAGCCTTGGCCATCATTTCCATTTCAATCTTCCACTTTCTCTTGTTGCAGCTCAAGGAGTATGAGGCCCAGCACCGGCAGTCAGCTGCTTTGGACCCTGCTGACTGGCCAGACGGTTCTTACCCACCATTCGATGGCTCATCAAACTGCAATGTAAGTTTGCTGTCTCTTTGAGCATCTTAACCGCTCCTACTAAAAAGGGACAGCCTGCACGATTTCAGCCTTTAGACTTCTTTTTGCAGTCACCAACTCCCACCTGGATCTGGAAAGAGGTGTCTCTTCCGACATGTTATTCTTTCCTTTACCTGGTAGCTGGGACAGCGCTGTTCATGCTGTTTTTTTTTTTTTTTTTTTTAATTGAAGTAAAGTAGACACAACTTAAATTTTACCATTATAAGCATTTTAAGTGTTCAATTCAGTGACATGAAGTACATACACTTTGCTGTACAACCATCTTCACAACCCACTTCCTGAACTGCTCCATCATCTGAAACAGATATTCCATAACCATTAAACAATAACTCTCCATTCTCTCCTCACCTTCCCCAACTCCTGGCAACCACAGTTTGCTTCCTGTCTCTATGAATTTGACTAGTCCAGGTACTTTATATAAGTAAAATCATACAATATTTTTCCTTCTGTGTCTGGTTTATTTCTCTTAGTACCATGTTTTCAGGACTCGTCCACATTACAGCTATTCTAGAACTTCATTCCTTTTTATGGATGAACAATATTCCACTGCACATATATACCACATTTTGTTTAATTATTCATCTGTTGATAGACACTTGGGTGTTTCTCCCTTTTGGCTATTGTGAATATTCCTGTTGTGAACATTGGTATACAAGTGTCTGTTTGAATCCTTGCTGTCAAATCCTTTCCTTATATACGTAAGAGTAGAATTTCTGGATTATACGGTAATTCTATGTTTAACTTTTTGAGGAGCTGCTATACTGATTTCCACAGTGGCTATACCATTTTACATTCCTGACAGCTGCGTGAAAGTTCCAATTTCTCTGCTTCCTCACCGACACTTGTGATTTTCCCATTTTTGATACGTCATCCTAATGGGTATAAAATGATATCATTGTGGTTTAGATTTGATTTCTCTAGTGTCTAATGATGTTTAGCATCTTTTTATGTGCTTGGCCATTTTTATACATTCCTCAGAGAAGTGTTTATTCAAGTTATTTGCCCATTGTTGAATTGGGATTTTTGTTTTGTTGTTGGTTGTTGAGTTGTAGGAGTTCTTTACAGAGTCTGGATATTAATCCTGTATCAGGTACATGACTTGTAAATATTTTCTCCCATTCTATGAGTTGCCTTTTTACTCTCTTGATAGCGTCCTTTGAGGCAGGAAAGTTTTTAATTTTGAAGTCCAATTTACATTCGTTTTTGGTGTCATAACTAAGAAATCATTGCCATATCCATTGTCGTGAAGATTTTCTCCTATATTTTCTTTTAAGAGTTTATAGTTTTAGCTTTTAAGTTTAGGTCTATGACCCATTTTAAGTTAATGTTTGTATATAATATAACATATGGGTCCAACCTCATTCTTTTGTGGGTAGATACCTTGTTTTCCCAGAACCATCTTGTTGAAAAGACTGGCCTTTCCCCCATTGAATGGTCTTAGCACCCTTTTTGAAAATTAATTGACCATATATGTGAGGGTTTATTTCTGGGCTCTCTTATTTTATTTCTTTGGTTTATATGTCTTTCCTTTGCAGGCATCATACTGTTTTGATTAAGATAGCTTTATAGTAAGGTTTGAAATTGGGAGGTGTCAGCCCTCCAACTTGGTTCTTCTTTTTCAGATTGTTTTAGCTATTAAGGTCCCTTGAGATTCCATTTGAATTTTAGGATGAGTTTTTCTATTTCTGTGAAAAGTGCCATGAGATTTTGATAGGGATTTTATTGGACCTGTAGATTGATTTGGGTAGTATTGTCATCTTAACATGAAGTCTTCCGAT